TGACTGGCACAGGAGGAGATTGCCCCCTTCTTCTCCAGCAGAGCATCTGGTGGATTTGAACCGTGTACTTCTGGGATTGCAGTGAAGCGTCTTGCCACTAGGCCACCAGAGCTCCCTGATAATTTATTATTCTTAAAGCTTCAAACAGAATCCTAAAAGGGGTGGGGGGGGGTAAGCATAGAAACTTTGTTAAAATATTCATGAAGTGAGTCACTGAGGTTTCCTAGAAACATGGTAATATTACATTAGAGGTAATGTTTCCCTTCTTTTTACTTTCTAGCAACTGCTCTTAAGCCACAGGTTCCCCATTTGCTTTCCCATCTGGTAGTGAAATAGCTGACCTAAGATTTCTTTACAAAAATTACTAGGAGCACAGTCATTTGGGGCTAATTGATTACGAGCCTCCAGTAGATAGAGAATTAATTCTTCAGGCCTCCTGCTGATAGTAATGCACTTTTATTTGAAGTATGCCTGGTTTTAATTGTTTTTGGTCAAACATTCTTCTAGGTTGTATAGCCCTGGTGTGTCCATTTGCTGTACAGAGGTAACTCGTGGTGGTTGTGATGCTGAACGCTGTGACACTGACGTGTCAAATGCGATAATGCTTACTCATGGTGGACAGTTTTTGGTGGAGCTTCCCAATTAAAACAGGCTTGGAAGCAGGAGTGGCATCCACTTCTGGAATAGCTTGCCTCCGGAAACCCTATGAACGTGGAGAAACGATGACCATTATGTAAGTGTTCAGGTCTTTCGTTCATAGGGTTGCTATGAGTCATCTACAGCTCGATGGCACTTAACAACAACAACATGTTGATTGTCGTTGGGTCATAGCTGACCCTCCGGTGGGTTTCAGAGGCAATAAGTCGGGCAAGGGGAGATTGCCGCCCACAGAGCAGCCCGGGGGTCCAGAGCAGTTGGCTTGGCAGTGCGGCTCCTCTCCACAAGGCCAGTTTTGTCGTCAGGTGATGTTGAGTGTGACTCCGTCAGGACTGAACAGCGGCTCTGAATCTGCTCTAATCCTGTGGCGTCCTCACTTCCTGACACTAGAACTCTGCAGCGGTCACCGTGTCAGTCCACCTGCTTGAGGGTCTTACTGTCCTTCACCAGCCCCCCCCCCTTCAAAGCAGCAAGTCCCTCTCAGGAACAGCCCTTCCTAGCAACATGGCCAAAGTATGTGAGGCAAAGCCTCATCATTCTTTCCTCCAAAGAGCATTCTGGCTGCACCATCTCCTAGACATGTTTGGGGTTTTTTTTTTGCCATCCATGGGATGTTCAGTTCTCTCCAACACCACAACTTAAAGACATCAATTTTGCCACCCTTAGTCATTGTCCAGCTCAAGTAATCGGAAAGACCGTGCCTGAATCAGATGCACCTTAGTCTTCAAACTGACATCACTACTCCTCAATTTGGACAGGTCCTTAACTGCACACTTTCCCAATGCAATACGTCTCCTGATTTCCTGACTCCTGATAGTGTTGATGGTGGATCCAAGTAAGATGAAGTTATGAACAGTTTCAATCTCTTCTCCATCCACCATCATGTTTCCTATTTGTCCAATGGTAAGAATCTGTTTTCTTGACATTGAAATGCAATCTATGCTGATGGCTACATTCTTTGGTCCTCTGTATCAAGTGTCTCAAGTCCTCACTTTTAGCAAGCAAGGTTGTGTCATCTGCATAACTAAGTTGACAAGTTGTGGCTGACATTGAGAAGAATTAGAGTCCCAGAGCACTTAATTATGCTCATACAAAGCATACATAGACCAGGAGGCTGTTATGTGAACAGAGCAGGGAAATACTGCATGGTTTAAAATTAAGAAGGGAGAGTGCCAGTTATATTCTCTCCCCATACCTATTCAATCTGTATGCTGAGCATATTAGTCTATAAGCTAGAGACTATAAAGAGGAATGTGGTTTCAGGATCCGAGGGAGACCCAGCAATAACCTGTGTTATGCAGATGACACAATCTTGCCTGCAGGCCAGTGTAGAAATGAAAAAATAAGCATTTTAAAAAAAATTATTGTGAGTCTTTTATTTAGAAGAAAAGGGGGACTTTTAAAGATTTGCATAAGTTCAAATTTTTAAGATGGGGTTGTCCTGGATAGACCCAACTTAGTCATGTTATGTGTTGTTGAGTCACCTGCGACTCATATTTACCCTGTGTACAACAGCCCTAAACCCTGCTCTATCTTGTGCCAATTTATTGTCTCTGACACACTTAACCATATTACCCCAGTCACGGAATCAATCCACCTTATAGAGGGTCTTCCTCTCCTGCATTGTCCTTCCACTTTCCCAAGCATGATGTCCCTCTCCAAGCATTGGTCCCTCCTTGCAACATGCCCAAAGTTTGACAGATGAAGCTTAAAAATCCTTGCCTCCAAGAAGCAGCCTGGCTTCACTCCAGGGTGAACCTGCTCTCTTAGCAGTCCATGGTATATTCAATACTCTTCTACAACACCACAGCTCAAAGGCATCAATTCTCCTATCATCCCTAGTCATTGTCCAGCTCTTTGACACATAGCAAGTGATTGCAAGGACCATGGTCTGTATTGGGCATACCTTAGTCTTCAGACTGACATCGTTGCTCTTCAGTACTTTAGAGAATTCTCTAACCACTGAGTTTCCTATGGCAATATGTCATTTAATTTCCTGGCTGCTGGTGCCAAGAATGTTGATTCTGGAGCCAAGCAAACTAAAGCTGTGAACAATCTCAATCTCTTCACCATCCATCCTGATGCTGCCAATTGGTCCAGTGGTGAGAATCTTTGTCTTCTTGACATTGAGCCTCAATCCATATTGGAGGCTGCAGTCCTTGACCCTCTGCAGCAAGCACTTCAGGTCCTCCTCAGTTTCAGCAGGCAGGGTTGTGTCATCTGTATAATAAAGATTGTTGATGTATCTTCCTCCAATCCTGATGCCACCTTTCTTCTCATAGAGTCCAGTCTCCCAGATACTCTGTTCTGCATATAGAATAGAAATTCAGTCATATGGTTTTCAAAAGTTGGGAGAGAGCCTTTCTCAGTTGTAGCCAGGGGAGGTGACCATGGAAGAATGGCCAGAAAGACAGAGCAGACACTGAGGATAGAAAGGACTGGGCAGCCTCTAGTAGAGGAGAAAGGTCGTGTCTCCCCTGGAGTCTTGCCAACCCAAGACCCACGTTGGCCTTCTGACCTCCAGGTCAGTGATACGATGGGTTTGTGGCACTCTCTAAGGGTGGCCATGGACAATGGGTGCACAGCTAACGGTGGCAGTGGTCACTGGACCTGCACAGCATCATGAGTTCTGGCAGTCATTTCTAGGCATCAGAGGTGACCATTGGGTCATGTGGAAGCCCTTGGTCAGTTTGGGGCCAGGGATAAAGAGTGTGGAGCTGGCCAGCTTCCATCAGCTGCTTTGTCGTTTCCATCATTCCGCTCCCAACTCAAAGCTAAGTACGGAACCTTGAAGGTTCGATTTAAGGAGGCCCTGGTCTTCTGCAATACTGCGGTTAATGCACTCAGTTATTTTTTTTTTTCTTTTCAGGGAGGGTCAGCATTTTATTAGATAAAAACAGGAAGGAGAGTGCCTACCCATCACTTCCTCCGGCTCAAAAGAGTAACTTCCCCCACCCCAAGAATGAGCAGGGAGTCTCTAACACTGATATAATGGCAGAGTTAGGGCAGAAAGCCCCAAACATCCCTTCTAAGTCTTATTACAAAAGTCTTCTTAGGTATGAATTGCCAGAAGAGGACTATACTTGACTCTTCCCCTAAGTTCTTGGCTCTTCTGATGGGGGCTTCATCCCCCACAGAAATCAGGACTATGAAAAAAAGTTTTTTAAAAAAATTGAAAAGATGGGTGTTCTTCTCCATTGGCTCCGAAGGGAGGAGGCAAGGCAAAGTTGCTTCCATTCTTGGGCCTCATATCCTTGATGCCTTCAGTGCTCATCAAAACCAGGCATGGGAAAGGCTCTGGCAAACTGCTCTACCCGCTGCCTGAGGTCAGCCAGCCACTGCCTTGTTTCTGGATCGTTGAGCAGGAAGGATTTGAAATCCTGGAGCTTGGCAGTCTTACTCTTCACCTCCAAGCCAATGTTGACACCTTCATCTATAAAGTCCACAACTCTCCGGAAGTCATCCTCACAGAACTGTCGGGAGGTCAAGGCTGGAGCCCCGAGTCGCAGGCCCCCAGGAGTGATGGCACTGCGGTCTCCAGGACAGGTGTTCTTGTTGGTTGTGATTGACACAAGCTCCAACACCCGCTCAGCCCGAGCTCCATCTAGGCCTTTGGGTTGAAGGTCTACGAGCACCAGGTGGTTGTCAGTGCCTCCAGACACCAATGAGTAGCCTCGCTCGAGCAGGGCATCAGCCATGGCCCGAGCATTTCTCAGAACTTGCAAAAAGTACTCCCGGAACATGGAGGTGCAGGCCTACTTTAGGGCCACAGCTACTGCAGCAATGGCATGGTTATGGGGGCCACCTTGCAGTGAGGGGAACACGGCAAAGTTGATTCGGTCCTCAAACGTGTAAGGGATCTCACGGCCAGACTTGGGATCCACAGCACGCACCCCTTTCCGGTAGAAGATAAGTCCTGACCTGGCCCCTCGAAGGGGTCTTGTGAGTAGTGGTGGTAACAACACCCGCATGCTTGAAAGGTGAGGGGATCACCTTGGCAGCCACCAGGCCGCTGATATGGGCCATGTCTGCCAGCAAGTGCACTTTGACCTCATCACACACCTCTCTCATTCGGGCGTAGTCAATGAGGCGAGCATAAGCACTGGTACCAGCAATAATGAGCCGTGGTCGGAAAAGGCGGGCAGTCAGTGCCAACTGGTCATAGTCAATGAGGCCAGTTTGGGGATTCAGTTTATAGGGCATGGATTCAAAGAAGATGGATGTGGCTGAAATCCGCTTGACATCAGACATGTAACCATGGGTGAGATGGCCCCCATCAGGCAGGTCCAGCCCCATGATTCGGTCATGGGGCTGCAAAAGGGCTGTATAGGCAGCTAGATTGGCTGGGGACCCTGAGTAGGGCTGGACATTGACTCCCCATTGTGCAGGATCCAGGTCAAAGGCTTCCAAGGCTCGGCGCTGGCACAGCAGCTCTATCTCATCCACTACTTCTGCTCCCCCATAATATCTCTTGCCAGGGTAACCCTCCGAGTACTTGTTGTTCAGACAGGACCCCAGGGCCTCCAGCGCAGCTCGGCTGCAGAAGTTCTCAGAGGCAATGAGCTCCAGGCCACGACACTGCCTATCCTTCTCCTTCTGTAGCAGCTCCCACATCTCAGGATCACTATCTGACAGGCTCTCCTGTCCTGTCCAGCTGCTGGCTGCTTCTCCAGTCTGAGTCTGGGCTGTCTTGCTGTGCTGGCCTCGTCTGGCCATCTTGACCAACTGACCACATCTCCGCAGAAGCCGGGCCGCCGAGAAGAAAGTGAAGCGCATCATCGCAGCCCCAAGTCGCCGGAGGTGCAGGACTAACTCTTAACAGGGAGCAGCAGTGCACTCAGTTCTTAACCAGTAAGTTGAAAGCTGCAGTGTACTCAGAGATACCTCAGAGGAAACGGCTAGCAACAGAAATCTGAAAAGTCACCCCTCCTTTGACTTCCGAAGTCAACAATTCTGCGGTAAGGGCTCAAGGTCTGTCTTTTAATAAATTCTCCAAGTGGTACTGATGACCTAGAGTTTGAGAAGGAAGCTCTGATGGTCTGTTGTTGTTAGACACTGTTGAGTATGACTCAGTGAGCCTTGGAGCAATGTACCTGAACACTGTCCTTTCCTGTGCCGTCTTTACAATCTCTGACACCTTCAAGCTCACTGCCACAGTCACCACGTCAACCCACCTAATTGAGGGTCTTCCTTTCACCACCCCTCCACCTTCCCAAGCATGATTGTCCCTCTCCAAGGAATAGCCTCTCCTAGGAACATGACCAAAGTATGTGGGACAAAACTTGATCATCTTTGCCTCCAAGGAACACTCCAGCTGCACCCTCTCCAAGACATTTCTGTTCTTTTGGCTGTGCACGGGATGTTCAGTGCTCTTCAGTACCACAGCTCAAAGGAATCATATCTTCTTCTGTCATCCTTATTCACTGTTGAGCTCCCAGATGGGTAACAAGTGACAGAAAAGACCAAGCATGGCCTGAATCAAGTGTACCTGTGTCCCCAGATTGCCACCAATACTATTCAGTAATTTGGAGGTCTCAGACTGCCGGCTTCCTCAGTGCAATAAGTCTCCTGACTGCTGGGGCCAAGTGTACTGACTGTGGATCCAAGTGCGATTGAAATTGTTGACAGTCTCAATCTGTCCAGTGGTGAAGATTTTTGTTTTCTCAATATTGAAATGTAAAATGGTAAGGAATTACACTACAATTCTAAGCCATGCAGTTCGAATCCACTAAGTAAGTATTCCACTGGAGAAAGATGGGCAATCTCCTTCTGTGCCATTTACTGCTTCTGCAAACACACTGCAGGGCCAGCTATGCGTCGGTTCTGACTCAATGGTACACAGCGACAGGTTAGAGAGTCCCTACTGGAAGGTCGTCTGCTAGGCTGCACTGGGTCCTGGTAGTCCCACCACCTTGAAGGCAGGGTGTACTTAACGAGGATCTGGGGCGGGGAGGGGCAGCTGGACTGGACCCTACAGTCTCTGTGTCCACCACCCTGCCTGATCCTTTCAGCCAGAGACCTAGGAGGAAGGCACACTGGCCCAGAGTGGGGCTGTGGACCTCCTCCTGCCTGCGTTTGGCCGCCAACAGCACACCCACAGGGCCACCCTTAACGAGAGGAGAACCAGCACTGGAAGGTCTCCTGGGCAAACGGCTGAGATGTGCCTCATAAGTCTCCTTCGGGGGCCTGCAGGACAGCCTGTCCCAGGGAGCAGTGGCCTTGACGATGGACAACACCGGCTTCCCTACCTTCCTCTCCCTGTGCCCTCTGTCTGCCGGTGGGGATCACTTCCCTAGTAAACTGCTCTCCACAGACGCCATTGTTCAGGGAGAGCCAGTATCCAGATGTCATAGCTGCCCCAGATGCCCCTGGCCTGCTTTTCAAAAGCAATATGTCCTTCTCACGTAGACCTCACTCTGCTGTCTGCTCCCTAGATCTACTCCAAAGAAGCATGCCTAAGAATAGCACACCATCCTTTTAAAATCCTCTGCATGCCATTCATTGATCACAACCCTGCTTTTCGTTTTAAACTCTGTGATTTGTTGTCTTTTGAACTCTGTGAATGCCTGCGCACACAGGAAGAGCTGAGCCTTGCTTACTCTTGGTTGTTCCTCAGTAGCTTAGGCAATGCAGAAGGCTGTGAATAGACATGATTACTAGAATGGGTAAATTCTGTAAGAACAAGACAAGGCCCCAAGGCAGCTAAAATCTGAGTTAAGGACCAGAAAGGCCATATCATGCTGTCAAAGGTGGAGGATCAGAGAAAGAGAAGGTCCTCAACCAGATGGATTCATAGAGTGACCACAACAATGGACCCGCCTGTCAGAGGCGGTGAGGGCAGCGTGGACCAGGGCCAGGTATGGATCTCCTGTTCACAGAGTTGCTCTAGGTCATGGCCGACTTGACAGCATCGGACAACATGAACTTTCTGCAGAAAAAGAACACACAGCTCAAAGGCATCCATTTAAGTTTATTTAAAAATTACAAAAATGTCTCCACTCAAGTTGTCTGTGAAAAAATTTTAAAAGCAGCAACAATGACCTTAGTTCATTTACCCCAGTCTAATGCAATTTATAAAATTGAACAGAATTTGGATGTGTGTCTTATTCCTCTGTAGACACGGGACCCTTTCTTGAGGTCCCTTTCTTTAGGGTCCGGCAGAATCATGAGTGGGGCGCTTTCCACGGCCTTTCTCCTGTGGACTCGATGGAGAACGATCCGGTAGACGCCCGTGATGGAGCTGCGGGCGTCCCCGCCTGGGTTACTCCGAATATGCTCTTCTGTGATGCCCAGACGTTCCAACGTGCTTTTCACCTCGCTCTCCTCGTCTCTGAGGATGCCGGTTTCTGACAGGTGTCTTGGGTCCAGCTGGAAGGGCTCCAGAGGGATGGGGCAGGGCACCCCTCGCATCCACTCGTCGCTGATGATGTGGTCGATGCCGTACCTGTCCCCGGGCACGGGCTGGAGGACGCCCCGGATGAGCCGGTGGCAGGGCGCGGACACGAACGCGGGCACACTGTACGTGCCCTCCAGCACGCTCTTCTTCAGCTTGGCCACGGTCTCTGCCCGGAAAGGCATGGTGCCGGTCACCATGAAGTACAGCAGCACCCCCAAGGCCCAGATGTCCACATAAACGCCCACGTAGTGCTCGTCCCGGAACAGCTCGGGGGCGGCGTAAGGGGGTGACCCGCAGAAAGTGGTCAGCATCTCGCCTTTTCTACTGACGGTGCTGAAGCCAAAGTCGCCCACCTTCACGCAGGTGTTGCTCGTGTAGAAGACGTTCTCTGCCTTGAGGTCTCGGTGGATAATCTGGTTGTCGTGCTGTGGGAGAGGGCACAAAGGGAAGGGTTAGCGTGTTCCCAGGATGATGGAACGCACCCCCAGTGACGCAACGTGGTGGCATGACACTCAGTGGACGTCCAAACAGCTCAGCAAACCCCTGGTCTTGGAAGGCAGCCCCTCGTAACCTTCAACCACATCCACCCCAGACTGAGCACAGGTCCTGCTTCTCTGTGGGGTGAGAGCTGCCATGCATCCCAAACATGTGGACTGGGGACTTGGTGCCAGAAAGAAGAATCAGGTCTTACAAACGGAGACTCAAACTCCCATGTTGACAGCAGCATAATTCACCATCGCAAGAACATGGAAACAGCTTAGATGCCCAACCACAATTAAATGGATTGAGAAATTCCAATACATTCACATGATGAAATACTACGCAGCACGCACGAACAGTGATTTTGTAAAGTACTACCTAACTTGGGAGGAACTGGAGAGCATTATGCTGAGTGAACTAACTCAGTCCCATAAGGACAAATACTGCTTAAGACCATTTTTTGTAGAACATGTATGAGGATCCAAGGCGGAGAGAGGGGAGCAGAGGGGTGAGGTGTCGGTTAATCACAGGCTCGCACGATTTCACCAATGGAGGGAGGGGTGGGTAAGGGAAAGGGGAAAGATGTGGTGTGAAGAACAATGTATATGAACTTTGTAAGTAAACCAGTATAAAATGAAAATGTTCTTCAAGAAAAGAAGAATCCTGTGTTGGGAAGCACAGAGACACCACGAAGCAGTCCTCTTTAGGCCACATACGGTCTGGTGTTGTGTTCCACTCTTCCTGGATGAGCAATCTCGATGAGACCAAGACCAGGAAGGCTTGGAGCCCTCCCTGCACTCGACAACGTGCTTCTTCGAGTGGGCATCTTTTTGCAAACTGAACTCAGCAGAGGGAGGAGACGGCTGGACAGTGTTCTAGCAGGGTCCCACCGTGTGGGGGCACACGATCGTAGCCTCCTCACGTTCTCCACCCAGACGTGATCTGAGACTGGCCTGCTCAGGCCCGAGGGCTCATGGGCAATGGTTTAACGTTCTTTACTTTTCCCAGTGAGCCTCTTGAGATTAAAAAGCCAGGCGTTGGGTCCTGCTGGCTTGGTTCATTTTCAGTTCAGCCTTTGCAAGCTGTCCAGTGTGTGTGAACCACACTTGGCTGCTCAGGACTGGCCATGAGCACTGCCCATGAGGCCCCTGGTCCACCGTTCTTTCAGGAGGCTGAGCAGAGTGACAGGGTGTCCTTCAGAGGACGCCTGTCTGCACCCCATACAGCTTCGTCTTCTTGTGCTGACCACCAGATTCCTTTCCAAGTAGAATACGGAGGACTGTGACCAGCAGTGCCTCTGCTTGGTGTGGGCTGTCTGGGGAAAGGTGAGCCACAGCGCCCGGTAAAAACCTATTGCAGTCAAATCAATGCTGCTTCACAGCAAGCCTGCAGGACAGGGCAGAACTGGCCTACCATGTTCCCGCCCTGCCTGGACAGCAGCCGGGCAGCGCTTCTCCCCGGGCAGAACTGACCACTCCTCTGGCAGTTCATGGTCAGTACTCTGCACCACCACCCACTCGTGGAAAAGATGTCACGCTGGGAAAAGTGGATGGTCAGTGAAAGAGAGGAAGACCCTCAATGAGATGGACTCACGGATATCAGATGAGGTTGGCACAGGACAGGGCAAGGTTCAGGACGGTGGTTCACGGTAAATCGGGTCACAGTCGACTCAGCAGCACACAACAACAGCGGTATTCCCAAGGCTGTCATTTCTACTGAAGTGGACACACATATACACACCCCCAGCACTGGGCCGCTTAAATGGTCACAGCCCAGCTCTGCAACACCACCACTGGTCTCCTTTCTTCTGCTCGCTCTGCATCGCCTTCTTCCTCCTCCTTGCTATTTCGTGGGGGTGCTCTGGTGCCCTAGTGGCAAGGAGCTGTACTGCGACCTCAAAGGCAGGCAGTTCAAGGCCACCAGCTGCTCTGCAGAAGGGTGGGCAATCTCTTCCCATGTGATTAACTGTCTCTGAAAGCCCACTGGGGAGTCGACTATAGGTCGGTTCCAACTCTACGGTACACAACACACACAACACAGGCAGAGAGCGTCAGTGCAAGAGAGGGAGACCCTCTACAAGATGGACAGTGACTGTGGCAATGGGGTCGAGTGTGTCAGAGATGGTGAGGTTGGCTCAGGATAGGACAGGATTCAGATCTGTTGTTGTTCATAGGGTCGCTAGGAGTTGTCGAGTGGAACATAAAAAGACAGGTCACTAATTTCCCTGCTGGGGGGCTGGCCAGGAGACTGCTGGTCTCACCTTACAACCACTCAGGCACAGCAGTGAACTAGAAATAATCTCTCAGCTAGCAGAGACCCCGGACAAGTGTGTCTCATCTGTGAGAAGTCTGCGTAAAGAAGGTAGCAGGACTTCATGCTGACAGGTCAGATTCAGTTCAGCCCCTGCCCGCACCTCAGGCCCCTCCAGGCCCAGCAACGTGGTCAGCAAAAGAGAGAGCCCCATGGCAATCCGTTCTTAGTGGGACTAAGGCGACTGCTTCAGAGTCCAGCTTTGCCTAAAGAAATAATCAGGTAACTAAAATAAGAAAGGCCTCATCAAGTTCTAATCCGCTGAGCATGGGGGTGGGGGCAGCTAATGAGTTCACCGGAGGGAAGAAAGAGAAAACAGAGGTGCTGCATGATGGAAGAATGTTCTAGAGACAGAAACACGCTAGTGCTGGGGAGGACTGTGAAGTGTCTGATGAGGTTAGAAGGGAGAGGGCATCCTGGGTGCAGAGTTAAGGAGGACCCGGGTGTCCCGGGAGTAGATGGAGTTCCGGAAGTGGGTTGTGACCGAGGAGTGGGTACTGCTCACTCCAGCTGCTCAGAGGGAACCCCAGCAAGCTCCCCACATGTTAGAAGTCTGAAGACTAAGTGCAGACCCCTGGATCTTGAGTCAGAAGCAAGAGCACCGTCCCAGCCAGACCCATGACCCTCACAGAGGCACTACTGTCTGCTTACGTACCTGAACTGCTTGAATGTTGGTAATTTATAGCCCCTCACTCCCAGTGGGGCCAGGAGGGGGTGAGACCCTTCTTCCGGGGGCCCTCACTCCTGGGGCCCTCGCACACTCCTAGTGGAGCTGGTTTGGGGTGAGGCCCTCACTCCTGGGCCCCCTACACTCCCAGTGGGGTCAGGATGGGGTGGAGGCCTCATTCTTGAAGCCTCATTCTTTGGGACCTCCCACCTCCCAGGTTGGGATGGGCCCTCCCATGTCTCACCTCCCACCTCCCTCCTCCCACACTCCCAGTGGGGCTGGTTTGGGGTGAGGTCCTCAAACTCCCACAATCCCTTGGGGCTGGTTTAGGGTGAGGCCCTCCCACCTCCCACAGTCCCTTGGGGCTGGTTTAGGGTGAGGCCCTCCCACCTTCCACAGTCCCTTG